TTTATTGCATAATCTGATTATTTTATTAAATTAGTTTTACATATATAATAGGATTACAAATATATTTTGTATTTATATTTTTATAGCATTTATCCAAAAACATAATTTTTTTTTTTTTTATCTTTTTTAAAAAAGTTTCATTATATATACAACTAATGATATTATGACAGCTTAAAATGTATGAATAATTTAATAAACTTGTGAATGTATTGTAAATATAACTTAAAAAATATTTGATTTAACATATAAGATATAAATAAAATATTTATTCTAATTTTTTTAACAAATATATGTTTATTTCAAAAAAAATGTAAATTATTATTTAATAATCCAGATATATAAAATACAATGAGGTACTATAAAATGGAGAATAACGATGTGTGATTCAGAATTTTATTAAAATTTATATTTTGAAATTTAATTATAAGGTAATATATTTGTAAATTACGATTAGCAAAATTTTTTATTAAAAATAATATTTATAATTTTTCTGTTTATTATGACTTTTATTTGTAGTTCGATTTTACTGGAATATTTCCAAATTGCACAGACAATTTTTTATGGGATATATATCAGAATAGAAGCAGAAGTACACAACAAGAATTTACTAAATTGTGTAGTACTTTCAAAAATGATGTAACAAATAGTGATTCTAAAATTCATAATTTTGTTCAATATTGCCAAGTTCTTGGTTTATATTTAGAGCACATATATAATAAAGGATTAACGTTGAAACCAAATTCATGTTGTAAATTATTCTATTATAAACTCAAAAAAGATATAATAGATAAATTTGCGTTAAAATGTACTTACGCTAATAATGATTGCTATAATAAAATGATTCAAAAGGCAGGAGTGAATATTAGTTCAAAGATATTAGGTATATGTAAGGATCATTTTGTCGATATAGATAATAACACATCTGCACTTTTGGATTATCTGTTTGAAATATATAAGGATATTAATCTCTTTAGTACAGAGCCACTTCAGAGGACCACTAATAATGTGAGTCCTTTTACAAAGAAAATAGACAAATTAGAAGAATATTCTCGTAAGAATAAAATCCGACTTAATGCAGTACTCGAAAATATTATTCAAATATGTGTAAAGTATAACAATGATTGGAAGTATCGTGAACCTGAAAAGCATTCCTTATATTATATATCTGATAAATGGATAAATAAATTAAGAATGAAAATCAATGGTACTTATGCAGAAATAACAGGGAATGAAAAGGGACACACAGAAAATTTTCAAACAAAAGCACTAGAAGCTGAAACTTTGATGAGCACTGGAACATATGGCGAAACAAGTACAGGAATAAGTGTTGGAATGATTTTTATAAGTTTTTCGATATTAATAATAATGTTTATTTTGTATAAGGTTAAAAATAAAATCAATATAATGAATTTATGTTGTACTATAATATATCATAAACATAATTTTATAATATTTAAATAATATAAGTGAAGAATACATATATGTATCATTTATTTATTGTTTTCAGTATACAACTTATTTTTCATTTTTAAAACCAAGAGTACGTAGATTAAGAATACGGTTGAATAAAAATAACAGAAATAATATGGATTTTATATATTCATTTGATTTTAAAAACAAAAATTCACTTGATGGTAAATATGAAATATCATATAGTTAAGTTAAATAAAACCAATAAATGAGTATTTTCAGTTATTAGTATCAATTTATTTTGAATTAATAATCACAATGTGGCATTTGAATTCTTGTATAAAATAAATTTAATTATATTAATATGATAATACAAAGAATAAATAATAAAGAATGTTAATAAACATAGTAAAATGGCATAATATATGAAAATTCAATTTTTAATTATTATTACAAATGGAGGAATAACCACATTACTACACAAAAATAGAATGACCTATATACATATATAGCATTTCCTAATATACTAAAATAATGTTATATTATAATAATTCATTTGGAGATGCATTGTGTGTTAAACTAATACTAATTTTCACAGAACAAAATATTATCTTTCAAAGGAAAATTATACTATAATATTCGAATAACTTTTATCTAATTGTAAATATATATATATATATATAATAAATTAGCTCTTTGAAATAAGATTAAAAACAGTAAGAATGTTATACATTCTTTTCGGCGAAATCATATGTGTGTAACTATTGCAAGTAATATATTGACATTTTATATTTTTTTCCAATTAATAAAATATAATAAAAAAAAAAGGAAAAGAGAAATTAAGTTAACAATATAATTAACACATTAATATTTAGTAAACGTATATACTTATAAACAAGGTAAATTTATAAAAAGTAGGATATAACTCATGTAAGTAAATATGTAAAATTATTACAAATTAGGATATATATACATAATCTTAATATTATAAAGAATATATATATTAATAGTGTCCAAAATATAAAATAGAATTCATAATTGTAAAATATTAAAATTGTAAAAAAAAATTATTAGTTATCTAAATTAGCTACATATATATTTATAATATTGTTAATCATTAAATCTTATTTTTTAGTTATAGCTTATCTCTCCAAGGGATTTTAGAAAATTAATGGAAGAAAATATAGAACATCAATGTAAAACATTTATTTAAATTTATTAATAATAATTTTTATATGTATATATATTGGAAGAATTTTTTTTATTATCTTATAATTTATTATTATATTATAGTAAATTCAATGAAATTATTTAAGTCAAAACTAGTTATTATGTATAAAGATAATATATACAATAGTGTGTTTTACTACACATATTTATTATTTTCTAGTGGAAATACACAAACTATATATAAAATAACACATATTATATAGATTTTTTCATGGTATAACTTATTTTATTTTACATATATATAGGATTAATGATCATAGAATGCATTATATATATCAAAATGTGAAAAAATTATTCTAAATAATATAATGATTACATAATATAAATATATATGTTTGCCAACAATTTTATCATTAATTAATTTAATAATATAATTAAAATATTATATTAATTAACATGGTTAATATTAGCTTATCTAATATCAGATACATATGTTTTTTGATAAATTTCATGGATATTCTTTTATCGCTTAATTGTAAAATATTATATATACAATATTAAGAATTACTCTAATTAATAGATGAATAAAATACTCCTAGTTTATTATTTAATATTATGTTATTTCTATTTTTATAATAATATGTAAAAAATAGAAGTACCTAATACTTTAACGTTGTTACAACAATCATGTATTATAATTTATTAGAAATAAAATTACGAAAATAGAGATTATACATTTATTTATAGGATTCATTTATTAGCCAAGATATTATTAATATTATTGTTTTATTCTTACGTGTACATTTTGTTTATTTATTTATTGTAATACTTCACCCTTTATTTTAATTATATATAATAAAAAATTAATGCATTTCACAAAATGTATATTATGAACACAATTTTTGTATTAAGTCTGAGTACATTTTCTTTCATATATTTATTCATATTGTATCTTATATGTATGCTTATTTTAATATATTTTTAATTTAATACAGGTATTATAATTATAGTATACTATACTGTAATATTTCAAATTTTCTATTTTATTTATTCACTTTATATTGTAAAAACTCCAGGGGATGCTTATAATACCACTATTGTTAAACGCAAATTATTTTATAAGTATAATTATTTTATTTTCATACAAAATGTCAAACAAGCTAATTATTTTATTAAACAACATTAATTAATTTACTAATGTTATAATATAAGTAGTGTTTTGTTGAGATATATATAATTTCTCTACTTTTTTGAATTATTGTATCAATTTTCAAAAGAATCAATTGAATTAATACTATCTTATTATGTTTTTTTAGCATTCTCCTCAAAATACTTTGCTTTTCTTGCAATAATTAACAAAGTGTTGTATACTATAAAGAACATGAAATGTGATATCCTTGTGAAAAATTAATTTATTGGATATACGTAATTCGTAGTTATATGTAACATTATTTTTATAACAAATATATCTAATGTATTAAATTTAATTTTAACTTTATATAAAATGAATGACATTATTAATATTATAAAAGGTAAAATTATAAAAACTCTACACATAACTGTGGGTAAAATGCAACCTATCCCTTGTGCATCTCTACCCTTGAAGCTGTGCTCATTTGTATACTTATAGCATCTCTTATTTACCTAAATAGGATTATTATGACTAACACTTATACATTTTATATTTATTAGTATCAACCTCTGCGCAAATCTCTATATTATTTCAAATTTTCTATTAATTTTTATTAAAAGAATATAAACCAATACCAGTATTAACATTGTAATAAACATTGATTAAAACAAAATTTGAGGAAACATTTTCAAATAAAAAAATACTATTACAATTATGTGAATTGTTTATATTTTTAAGTTGAATTGTACTGTTATTATAGTAAAAAGGTTTTGATATATTTCTATCCATGAATATATAATTGATATTTATACAATACGAAATGTATTACAAGCATATTCATCACTATTATTATCATTGTTAAAATTTCTAACACTATATAACATTTGATTATTATTTATTAGATTATTCATATATTACTTTATTTGCAATTTCAAAAAATGTACTTAATTACGGCTAAATAGGCTTTTTCAGAATTTGTTATGTATATATCAATTATATAAAAAATTTTCAATACATAAAAATCTTATTAGTATCCATATATATTGTTTGAATATTATTTATAAAAGTAATTATTTTAATATTTATTGAAGTGCATAATAATTAAATTATTTTTATTTTGCATAATATGTACATAAATATGCTTTTAGTGTCATTTCCTTTATATTTTTCAATTAATCCTTTTGGAAAAATTAATTACAGAAATTGATAAAGGATTTACCATTAATTATAGTAACCCTAATATACACATGAGTTATTAAGTTCATTGAAAAAATATGTTTGTAGAATAACACAAAAATCATTAAAATGAATTACAAAAACAAAAATTAAAATTTAATAATCTAATAAATTTAATATGTAACATGTTAATAGGAACAACTCGTTTAATATAATATATTAATAAATAATATGTGTGTTCTAAATAAAATTCATAAAATATTATTATATAAAAAACATTTGTAGAGAATTACTCTCCATATGGATTATAGAACCAAACTTTGCATATATTATATATATATTTTATAGGATATATATATTATATTCATAATAAGAAAATTTTTATTATTAAAAAGATAATTAATTTCATTTCATTTTTACGAAATGATATAGAATTACACAAATATTTAAATTCCAGTATGATCCGATAAAAAGAATTTTATGTATTTTTTCAAAGAATATAGTTTTGATAAATATATATAAACATTTAGTGAATAAAAGAACAATATATAAAAAATAAAACAATGAAAAAAAATTAAGCCATCAATACCATGCCTTATTCATAAATTCTATAAATATAGACATAAAATAATTAATTAATCATATTCATAAATCTATGAATCCTATAATTTAAAAATTATTTTCTTATTTATTATAAGAATACATTCATATTGTTTTGTATTTTTACTTAAAGAACCATTATATATCATTAATTTTTATTAAATGCTTTTTAATAGTTTTTTGAGGCGTATTCTATTTTGTATTCATCCTGAATTAAATCATGGTATTTCATTCCAAAGATATCATTTAATATATAATTCTCATTATTTTTATTATTCCAGTTATTTCTTATCTTTCTTAATCTTCGTTGTAAATAGAATCCAAAAAAATTATACTGTTAGTTATAAGAAAAGAAAAAATATTTTTATTAATATACTTTTCTTTTAATGTAAATATTTATAATAATTTATAACACATAATGTAATTCACTGTCTTTTTTTAATTAATTTGTGTGTTAACTCTATAAAAAACAAATACAGTTATTAATATTGTAAATAATACAATAAATGTCGCTACAGAAACCCGTATTGTATTTATTTTAGAGGTAACACCTAAGGTTTTAGCATCTATTAGACATTTAGATATAAACTTCATATAATCACTTTTTTCTGTTTGCAATTTTTTGATAATACCACAGAAACTATGATTACCCTTACATTCTGACAGAAAGATTAAATATTTTTTATAATCAAAGCTTCCGTAGGGACATTGAAAACTACCATCATTTTTTTTTCCATTGTATATATCAAGATAAAAATACAACCATTCCAGAAATGATAAATTAAAAAATATATCGTCTTTAAGATTTTTAAGATCATTGCTACAAATATTATAATTTTGTAAATTTTCTTGATTATAAGCATTATTCATATGACGATAAGCAGTTTCTGTGTCCTGATACGTGCATTTACACTGCCTCAATACATTTTTTAGCTTGTAGTTGAAATAATTACAAGGTATTTTTTTTTCATTTTCTGTAGACTTTATGCCATTTAAAAAATAACTAAGTACTAGACACTCACTTACAAATATTTCCTTATTTATATTAACTCCTAACATATGAACCATTGTTTCACACGCATTTTTAATTTTAGTATTGTTATTATATAAACTTTCGCTTGTGGCATTGTTATAATATGTTGTACATTGGGGGAAAATGTTGTCATAATCGAACTAAAATTAAAAATTATAATATTTACAAACATATTTTTTAATAATAAATTATGCAAAATATTTTTTGAAAAAACGCATTATAAAATTGTGAAATATAAATTATAATTAAGTTAAAAAGAAAAATCATACCTCCTCCATATTCTTAGTCAAATTAAATTGTTATATATATGAATTAATACAAAAATAACATTTATTTCTTTTAATTATAAATAATTACACGTAAAAAAATATCATTAAAAAATATGATATTGATAAGAAACGTATTCGTTGTTAAATTTTTTGAAGACTAATTCTATTACGTGTACATTTTTATTACGCTATTAAAGAATAATATACAACAGTAGCATATTCATTAGGGAAAAAATTTTAAAACCTTAAATACATATTAATAAACCTTTGAGTACAATATTTACATTATATAAATATAGAAAATAATAAGAATTTTTTTAATATTTTTGTATATATAAAAATAAAATAATAAACTTGTTCCACAATATAATAAATTAAATTGAATATACATTTATATACCTGATAATTATGTCTTAGAATATTTATTTATATATTTTGCTCTGCATATTAAAATTGAAGAGGTCATATATATTTAATGAGTGTATTTAAATACTGAGATTTAAAATTATATATAATGTTTCTTTGTTCAGCATTCTACATTTATTGCACATGTTCTAGGTCTCGTATATATTTTTTATCGAATATACTTTAATAATATAATTATACATATTTAATAAATAATATATATTTTTAATTATATTCATATTTTATTTTGTTCTCTACTTGTTTAAATTAGATACAGCGCATAAATTTAAAATTTTATACATTATATCATAATATGTGAGAATATGAATTATTTAATAAAATGGTTTATATTTGATTGTTTATATATGTATTTATGTATATATTTTTACGTAACCCATATGTTTATATATAATTCCCTGCATACATGATACTTATCTTCCTTTTTGCGGCTATGCAAATTATTTGATACTTAATATTTTAAATATATTTCTTATAAATATACTTAAGATATATACTAGACAATTTTGTTTCCCATTATATAAAATGATAACTGTATTTTATTCTACTATATTTGTAACAAAATATTTAAAGGTTTGAAATGATTTTCTTGGAATCTAGCGAATTTTTCTTTAAAATTGGTTCAAAAGTTTTTTATTTCTTGCTCTTTTTGCATATAACGAATGCGAAAAGGGCGTAAAATAATAATTTATAAAAATATTTGTACAATTAAAAACATAGAAATATTATAATTATATATTATAACGGGGGTCATCAGTACTACTATAAAATTATGTATAATATGAACAAACAGAAATTTTATAAATCCTACGGAACACTTTAATTCCTAAAATAACATTTATACCACACTTATATGCATCTATATAATAAAGTATACATAAATATTCTCTTTATTTTTGTTCGTTATACATTAAAATTTATATGATGTTTATTTTTGAATATTTTATGTTTTTTTTTTAACGTATGAATAAATTATTACCTTCAATTATAATATATATATATATATATATATAATTTACTTTTGTATTAGTCATAACATATAGAAAAATAAACACAAATAGATTTCATATTTAGAATCTTTTAATCAAATATCTTTATGTCCAATTTCATTTTTATCATTTTAATATTTTTCCCATAATTCAGTAAAATGTGATAATCTGTTATATTCATAATAATAATTTGAATACTTTAATATATACTAACATTTGTAGTATTCCATAAAATTATTTATATTTAGTAATGTTAATACTAATACGTGTATTATAGTAAGATATAATATGCGTATAAAATCATTATATATATATTATATTTAACGTTAAAGTAATATACCAAAATATATATTTTTTTATTTAAAATAAAAGAATATACTAGGGGCCTTTATTTTGTTGATTATATATATAATGGATAAAAGAAAATTAATATTAAGCAATAAACAATTAAATATTAGTGAATCCATAATAATGATAAGATTTTTTTCTATTAAATTATATTATATGTATAATAAATTGTAACCATACGCAAACGAATATTTAGAATATATTCACAGTTAAATAAATATATATTTGAACTAATCAGAAATCATACTTATTCGTTTATATACAAATATGCTATGGTTTTTCATATAAAACTATAAACAGTTGTAATAATATATTTAATGAATTATATCTAAAAAAACTTAGGTGTACAAATAAAAATATGGTGCTATGTACATTTCTCCAATTATATGTATATATACATTTTAATGTGTGTTTATTTTTAGTCATATTTCTAACAAAGCATAGACATAAATATATTTATTTCAAAAATAATTATAATTAATAATAGATTTATTTATATCCTTTTATGCTAATTTTTATTAAAAATTTATATTATATTCGCGTTAAGAAAATGTATATTAAAAAAGAAATAATATTCTCCTTTATTTATGTATGTTTTGTGCATTATGTATAATTATAAATAAATTGTTCATTTAAATATTGAATAAACTAAAAAGAATGAACACATTATATCCATAAGAATGATTAATAAAACTCTACTCATTTAAAAATTATACGAAATTATTCTTGCAAATACATGGTCGACTAGAAAGGTATATAAGATTTCTTAATAATATTATTTATATGTTTTTTTATAATCACAGTAAAAAATATAAAATTAGATATTAGTAAATGGTGCAATAGTTCAGTTTTAATAATATTTATATTATTACATAGAATTAAAGTTTAGGGATAAGTGTTTAGATTTAGGATTTTAGGGTTCACGTACTATACTTTAATTATTAGGTTTTATGTATGAGGATTGAATATTTATAGTTTATTTTATAGTATATTCTTATTTTTAATATGATATTCGATATATTTAAACTTGCTTATTCACATTATTTTTCGCTTTTTTCTTTACTAAAACTATGTTCATGATATATTGCATGCATAAGTAAACACACAGTATCCATCATATTATAAAAAAAGTATCTATTAATGATAACATTTATAATATATCCTTATATAATGTAATTATTATTGCGTATTTATGAAATTAGTATTTTTACGTTTCGTCCTTATGTGGAATATGTATTTCATTGGTGCACATTTTAACTTATTAAACATTGTTCATATTATATTTTGATATTCTTCTTATTTATTATGATTTTTAAAAAATATTTTTATTTGTATATGCACAAATATGTATTCTCCTAATCAGAATCATAATTCTCGTAAAAATGAACATATATGCCCTCTTCCTTATCATCCACATTAAAAGCATCACTATCCTCATATGCTTCATCTAGAGAGTCATAACATATCTTTTCCTCATCATTCTGCTTTAACAGATTTAGGGAGATACCATATCAAATAGATAAATCCCCAATACCACCTCCTGCATATAAAACCCTTGTTCTTTCCCACCCTCGTTTAGAATGATATCCAGTTTTATTCTCAGTACTATTGTTATCACCATGATGATCACATTTATACGAATAATTTTGTACTTGAGATAGTTTTTCAGCTTGTTTTCCTTATAATTTCTCTTTTTTATTTTTTATATCAAGTAGCAATTTATTGTACTATCTGATAAACTATCAATAACAGGTGCATTTAATGTATTATATGTTTTTTTCTCTAATTTAATTATTACATTTTCAGTATAATTTATTAAAAATGATATTTTATTTCATTGATATTTAAAAATATTAATTATATTATCTGAACCATCCATAAAATATTTT